GGACGTTTGACATGAGAAGGTCTTGGTGGACTACAAATAAGGTAAGATTTATTATTTACAAGCATGGAATCTACGGAGCCAGCAGCTAAAAAACCAAGAAGTAAAAAATTTTAATCAATTTCAAAAAATTTAGAAATATTTTTAATGTAGCGAGGTAACGGTGCCTTGTTTAATTTGTATGAGACACTGTACTGACGCCGTATTGCCGCACATGCGCATACAACCGGTCCCATATCGCAACACTGTTTTCCAGTTGAATTTTTCGGTCTTTCGATTTCTCTTGTCAGCTCCGCGTAAAACATGGAGAATCGTTCGATATCTAAGAAGAGGAAGGTTAGTAATTTGAAGAATTTATAATATGCAATATGTGAAAATATTATCGTCTGGATACTGCTGAAAGCTGTCGAAACAATATTTTATCAAAATTTGCGTAAATGTATTAGCTATAAATCGTAGATGACACGGATACTTTAGCGTCATTCTCGCAACGATTTTACAATTCCCCACATGGGCTACTTCAAGATTATTTAAAACGTAAAAATTTTATTAAACTAAATCTGAGCATTTCAACATTTTTTATAATGTCCTTAAATTTTATATTTAATATTAAATTGCAAAGTTATGTTTGATTTAGCAAATATAAACTTTGAGGTTATATTAACCTATATTTTACTTAATTGTACCTAAGAATATAATGTAATCATTTTATAGTATAAATCTTTATACTGGAACAATTGTTAAATTTAATTCAATGCAAATATCGAATTATATACAATAATATAGAATAGAAGTTTATATATATCTTGTTTTCAGTTTGTAGGAGATGGTGTCTTCAGGGCTGAGCTGAACGAGTTCTTGACTCGTGAGCTCGCTGAGGATGGATACTCTGGTGTGGAGGTTCGCGTAACTCCTAATCGTACGGAGATCATTTTACTTGCAACGCATACCCAAAGCGTTTTAGGTGAGAAGGGAAGAAGAATCAGGGAACTGACATCTGTGGTTCAAAAGAGGTTTAACTTCAAAGAACCACAAAATGTGGAATTGTATGCTGAGAAGGTTGCCACGCGTGGTCTTTGCGCAATTGCTCAGGCTGAGTCTCTTCGATACAAACTGATTGGTGGTCTTGCTGTGCGAAGGTAAATCAATGTTTGATTCTTTGTTGAATCTCTTAATCTCAGTTATATCTTTTACAATTTTTGTTGAATACAATTCTTTTATTTATAATCAGGGCGTGCTATGGTGTTCTGCGTTTTATCATGGAATCTGGCGCTAAAGGTTGCGAAGTCGTAGTTAGTGGAAAACTGCGTGGACAAAGAGCAAAGTCGATGAAATTCGTTGATGGTCTTATGATTCATTCGGGTGAACCAACTAACGAGTATGTGAACACTGCCACCCGACATGTGCTCCTTCGGCAAGGTACAATCACATTGTCATTCATAATAATTTAATCATAATACTATAAAAATTAAGAGAAAAGAGCTATAAGAATCAAAGCGCAAATGTCGGGACGCATAAAATTTTTATTAATTAATGGAGAATAATACCCATATAGAAACGTTTTGGCTCAATTTTTGCTTTTTTTTCAGTCTAGTAGAATTGTAATCAATAATAGTAATCCCATGTAAACAGTGCTTATGCCTATTAGTAGGTGTAAACACTAGCATGTTTACGTGTGATCTATTATTGATCACTATTATTGACACAATTCTATCAAACTAAGGGATCAAAAATTGAGGCAAAACGTTTCTGTATAAATATCATTACTCTGAATTGATTAATAATAAAATTTTTTATGCTTTTTATATCCACTTTGACTGTTATAGCTTTTTTTCTATTAATTCTATAACACATTTATAGAAATTTGGTTTTAAATTATAAAAAATTTACGTATTTAGTGTATTTTTATAAAATTATTTATGTTATATATTTTTATCTGTAAATTTAGGTGTATTGGGTATCAAAGTCAAAATTATGTTGCCTTGGGATCCGAATGGCAAGAGCGGCCCCAAGAAGCCTTTGCCTGATTATGTGAGCATTGTAGAACCCAAGGAGGAGGTACCACCATCAGTTCCAATTTCTGAGGTGAAGCCATCAAAAGACATACCTCAACCAACTCCTCTCTCCGTGTAACGATTATTTGAATAAAAAATAAATACAGAAAATAAAATTTATATTTCTATTTTATTTTCAACGTTTCAATACTTTATACTTATAAAAAAAATTTTTTTTAGGCTGGGTAGAAGTTTCTATTAAATGAGCTTTTGATCACTTTATTTAAAAAGATTTATTGATTATGTTTTGAAGTTATTTGTTACATTAACATACCAATAACTATTTTTATTTATAGAATCATTCTGAAACATTTTTAAATGTGACTTGAAGCTATTTTGAATATGATAAATATTTTAGTATAAAGGGGAGAAGAGATAGACGAAGTGCATTAAAAGATTAACAATTGACAAAACAAATATATATGTATATATATTTTTTAAATTAAGCTTATTCGAAACAGATGGCCAGACAACCATTTCCAGATTCGCAAATATACTTAAATGCTAAGTATTATTACACCGTAATATTACACAAAACCATATGAAATAAACCAAAGAAAAAAAATTAACCAACATAACATGAATTCCAATATGTACTATTATTTGTTACAAATCCATGATTTAAAATTGTATTACATTTAAAACTATGTTAATATTTGTGTACAGTTACATTTGTCTTAAACTTAACTCGAAAGATAAGAACGTATAACAATTAAACTTATTAACTGAGTTGTGTCATCCTTTAACCAGTAATTTATATTATATAATAATTAGCACAAAATATATATATATATATCCTCACATTCTTACTTAACATTCAATTACAAATTAGTGTAATTATTAATATAAGAAACCGTTCATGCTTTTTTTCCACAAATACTTCAAATTATTATACACTCAGGTATGGATTTTGATGTCGGCACTCTCGCGCTAACACTAATTCATGAAGTATCGCTGAGTGGACCCTAGAACCCTAGGAGATCTGTCTTGAGACTATGAGAAAGAATTCAAATCGAATATCATAGGTATTATTGGCGCACTGGTGCCATTTGTTGAGTAAGAGAGAGCAACCCGTCGATCATCCTTCGGACGATATCCGGCACTGCTGGTTTCTTCGATACCGAACTCAATCCGTTTCTAAGCTCGTAGAATACATTGCGTGTAAATGGATTTCTCTGCGACGCAAGACGCAATTTTAAAAATTGATAATAAATAAAAGGTGTCAGCAAACCGGCGCGTCCCCTGCAAAAAGATTAATATTCAGTACAATATTTAATTGGAATTGCGCGGGATAAGTACATTTATGTATACTACATACGTGAATACCAGAAGAACCGTAAATGGCAAGATAATAATCTCCGATAGAGCGCAAAGACGTAGAATATTCCGTGACTGAAACTCTACCAGCGATATCAAGAGACGAGCGCCCCACCATCTATTTTGTCCTATGCACTATGCATAAATTATAAGTCGAACTTAGTATCTTGTAATGACTACGCAACAGATGTAATTACACAATGTAACATATAATTTTGCTCGTAAGAATAAAGCATGCAATTAATTTTTTGTTTACTCACGTCTAGTAACGTCAGAGAATAACTTGCCAAGTGCATCAGAGCAAAAAGAAAAACTGGTGTAAGAACCACTATATCTCAATTCAGGACAACATAATTTATCTCATTCTTATTTGACTTTCATTATTAAAGTATGAGCTACTTAATAAATAGGTCATTTAAAAACTTATACAAATTAAATATGAAAAGGATACATGTTACTGGTGCCGCATACAAAAAGATCATGGAATAAAGCAAGTAATGACACGAGTCTTCCAACAATAACGACTCTAGAAATTGTCTAGTGAGCTGAACACGCGGTATTCTTTGGTGAAGACGTAATGCACTAGTCGCTGCATTGTTCATCAATACCTTATAATATATGTTGTAAGGGTTACTAAAAAAATAAAAATAATGAGAAAAATCAATTATTTCATAAATACAGACATTATTCTAATACAAGAAAACATTCTAAACAAGATATTATTTCTAAACAAGAAAAACTTACCCAAATATAGGGATGATATAACCGATGGTAAATATGATAGTAAAGAGTCTTGTCATCCACAATCCAAACTTGACCTTATTTTCAGTAATATGTTGTTTCAAGGCTGGCCACCCCTTCTCCACCTGTGGCGACGAGTCGCTAGATCCATTGCATGCACTGTCCACCATCTTCTGTAATTAATATAAATTTTTTTCTTATATTTGTGATAAAGTAATTATTATACTATTTTTTGTGCTTTGCTACAACTGGTAGTTCCACTTTTTTATAGTAAACCAACACCTACAGAATCTCAGAAATTAGCATAACTTATATGCAAATATGCGAATGAATACTGCGCAAAATTTCAGAATAAGAAATACAGTATATCGGTAATTACATCATCACGCGTTTCTCAAGTGAAAGTGGCCACTTTCTGTGGGAAAGTTACTTTTTTTTCGGCTGAAAAAATCTGAAGACAATTCTTGCATCGAAAATTAGGAAAAAAAAGACGTTACGTCAGTTCAATCGTTCTAATACCGACGAAGCGACGTGCGTAAGCACATTTTTTGCATATAGCGATCATTAAGCATATAACAATACACAGGTTGTACGATTACTCTGAATTACATCGTTACCTCAATTACACCGCGAACCATCAAGCTGGATGGTAATTGAACGAATCGAATTGCTATATTAATTGGCCGTTGATTCACTTACGTTTTATTAGTTCTGCACGACGACGTACAAAATACTCCGCAGCAGTTTTACACGTCAGTAACACCAGTAAACAATCGTTGTAAATCCACCTATTCCGATCATCTACGTGTCTAACGAACTAAGGACTCGAAGGCCTTGCAACATTGGCTGAATCTCATTTTTGCAATTACGAATTTCGCATGTAGATGTCGCGTAAGATCGTCGTTGTCGCTCCATCTCGAGTCAATATTCAGAATTTCAGAATAAAAAGCATTACTCTGTATTCTATAGTTTTGCATTGGACGCCGGATATGTTTATGATTGCGTAGAAAATGTGTCATTACGAACGTAAAACTGTCAAACTTAAATCAATTTTTGTGGCTAAAGATTTCCAAGGCCTTGAAGGTAATTAAAGATGATTACTATTTTCTATTACCGTCCGATATATATAAAAATGTACAATCGGTTTGCTTACAATAACCTAGTTTATACCGTCAAAGGTCTCATCTATTCACTAAATCTGTATTATATTCGTACTGTATCGTATATCGTTTTTACAACGCGTTAATATTGTATATTTCTACAATCTACGGATGACAACTACTAAATTACAATTTTACAAAATTATTATTGCATTTTACAAAAATATAATAAAAACATTTCAACAATTGCAATAAAATAACAAATCTAAAAAGAATTAATTTAAAAATTATTACTTTACTAATTTCAAATTTAATTATAGGTATTAAAAATTTATAGGTATTAAAAATTGGAAAGAAAATTGGAGATCAAGTATATAATAGTTTCCCAGGTAGCACATGCTCGTTTTGTATTCCTGTATGTATCTAATATTTTTTAACCATCAAGCATCAAGAAACATTTTTTGAAACATTTTGTTTTTTATAACATTGCATTGTTTTTAAGATATTACGTTGTCTAAGTTAAAATGGAACATCCTGTATGTGTGTGTGTATATATATACACACAATAATACATTCATGTACAGGGTGATTCAAAATAACCTGATGTCCTTGCAATGCCATATTCTTGAGCGAATTCTGAGACGATTTTTCCTTTTACAAAATTTTGTCCGAAGCTTAGTTTTCGAGTTATAATTGAAAATAGATAGCAACTTACGAGTTCGGTACAACGGGCAGGCAGGGACGCGCAACGTATAATGAGACTGTCAAGTGTTTACTATCGTCTCATGACACATTCTCGTCCCTGTCTGTTCGTTGTATCGGACTCGTAAGTAACAAACTATTTTCAATTATAACTCGAAAACTAAGCTTCGGACAAAATTTTGTAAAAGGAAAAATCATCTCAGAATTCGCTCAAGAATATGGCATTGCAAAGACATCAGGTCATTTTGAATCCTGTATTTATGAATGTATTATTTTATTAATTCCGTGAGAAAAAAGATGTATTTTTTCTCTTAATCGTTTCTTAAACGTTTTTTGTCGAAAAAATACCGTATTTCTTACCGTTTTTCGGATTGATATTTTAACCAACGAGAAACGTTTTTAAGAACCGTTATAAAACGTTTCTGAAACGAACATGTGCTACTTGGGTTTTGTTTTTATATGAAAACCAGTTTTCGTTTTTATATGAAAATTACTTTTTGTTTCTATATAAGTATCTTTCTTTTCTATATTCTTTGATATCTGAAACTAAACTTTTAACATATTACGGATTGGTTATTTTATCGCTAGTCATTACTCACAATCAATGGTCAGGTATTTTTATTCACATCCTATACGTAAATCCTGTATGTAAATTTTCCAGAAATTCGTCCAAAACTTGTTATTCGAAAGGTCGCTATTGTCACACGAAAGATTTACTTATTCATATAGAATTTACTGACATTAAAAATGGTTATGCTCACATGCGCCAGGCACAGCTATTAATTATATCAGTCGTTTAGTTGCCACCATATCTCGTTAACCATTTGATATATTTCAAATTGTAATTACACAATAAAAAAATTGTCAAGCAAAAAAACGTGTCAAGTGTCAGAAAAATACTTTTATGTATCGATACGAAAAAGTATATAGATTGCTACGTATGTGATGGATTTTTTATTTAGGATAGTTTCTTTGAATACCCAAGTGAGAACTTTTGCATTACAGATTAAGGCCTGATCTACAATATGCTTCTTGTGTATCGTTTCTTGCTCTTTACTTTTCGTATTTTTGCTTTTTTTGTGTTTATTGCATGGAGTCGAGAAACACCGTGATTTACAATTTTTCCTTTCTGAATTTCCGAAGAAACATGCCTTTACATAAAAGACAAAAAACAAAAATCAAAAAGCATATTGTAGATACGACTTTATTATATTATACAAGCAATTTTTTACTTTAAGAGATAGCACTTTCTCGATAATAAATCACGCGATATGAAATGATGAATTGTTATGCAAATTTTAATCATATGCAACATTTGATTTTATTTCCGTATAAATTATGTCGAATTTTTATGCACAATTATTAATACTAAATGATATTTTTTAAGGTTTCTTTATAAATGTATTAGTAAAATATATTACATATTAATAATAATTATTCATACACATGCAGATCAAATATTTACATACATGAATATATTAAAATTTCAAATATTCCATTTTTATATATATATATATATATATCTGAATAAGAAAAAGTTTTATCTTTTAAGGAATAATCATGAATATTTGTGTGCTCTTAGGTCATAGTTATAAATAAAGTCATGATTTTTGCGTTGATTACATTTTTTGTCAAGTTGCATACGTATATTTTGTTTTGTTGAATGCATTTTTATTTGAATAATCAAAAATATAATTTACTGTGATTTATTTGATGATAAATGTGTGTGATATGTAATATAATGAATTGTTTATAGATAAAGACATTTTTTGAATCTCCGTTTTTTTACATTTTTCAAATTTTTCGACGATAAAATATATATATAAAAACATATATATAAAAACATTTTAACACATTTAAAATCTTATGATTTTAAATATATAAAAACAGATAAAATATATATATAAAAACATTTTAACACATTTAAAATCTTATGATTTTAACTTATCTTTTATGTGCCTTAAAGTAAAAATATAATTGAATATTTTGAATATTTTTACATAAAATATAATTCAATATTTTTCCTTTAATTGTGTGAAAATAATTAGTCAGGAAACTTTAAAATAAATTTATATACGTAAATGAATTGACGAATGGCGTTTTTTATACTTCTTTATTAATATTTATTTTCTCAGAGTATTTTTCATCTTTATTTTCAGGATCCTATATCATATTACATTTGGCACCAAAGAGATGTGATTAAATGTAGAAAAAAAATTAAAATAAATATCTCTTACTTTACAGATGCATTTTTTTATATACTCACTTAAATTTTCAAGGATTCTGATACGCAATCGACGACTCCCCACCTGAAGAATACGACGAGTAGAAGGGAAATCGAGTACGTTCTGTCCTTATTGAAAAACATCTTTCTCCACATACATATAGCTTATACCCGAGCAACTTCGTGTATAACGGTTGATGCCGTTGGAAAGTACGTATGTAGAATAAGTGTACCTGACTGAAGAAGAGGATCAATTGGCTTTGCAACGACAAAACGCACGGATCTTACAACAGATATCTTGGATTACAATCAAACGAGATACTATATTATAACGTTACTATACAATTTATTAACATTTAACTTCGTCATAGAAAATGTTACTTGAAATGGCCGCGGTTTGTATTCCTTTCATGCTCGGCAGCATTGCGTATTTTTTTCCTTTCAATACCTGCTATGCATACGGCACCATTATATTGCAACAAATAAAACTTAATTACTTCGGAGTGAGATTTTGGTTTCACGATGTGGTCAACGCCAGATATAATAAGTTGGGTAAGTAAAACAGAGTAACATACATTTATCTTTCAAATTTTGACGTGCATCATTAAAAAAACAATTATAAACGTATCGAAATAAAACAGTGACAGTGCAATTGTAAGTTTTCAAAATTATTATGTTCGTCATTCTAAGAAAAATTTTTCGTCAATTACAATAGCAAAACAATATTATTCTCGAAAGATGTAAGACTTTAACTATTGTTTGACAACTGTTGATAAGATTATTCGATATATGATTCTGTGATTGTTGCAATTGATGAAAACTGAATTAAATCTCACACGTATGTGTGAGAGGTCATAAGGAAAGGTCAAAAAGTAAAAACTTTTTAAAAGATTTGATCCCTTACAATATACATTTCTCTTTACTTTATGACTTAAGATAAGGCCGGAGCACAGACTTTTGCATAAAGCATAACGCATAAGCATAAGGAAATTGATTGGTCCATTTCCTTATGCATTTGCTTATGCTTATATATAGACCAATCAATTTCCTTATGCTTATGCGTTATGCTTTATGTAAAAGCTTGTGCTCTCGGCTATACTCCGGGAGTGATATTTAAATTGTAGAGATAAAAATATCTAAAAATCATAAAAAATCGTATTATAATTATATGAGTTATTGTAGAATATAAAAATATTTTTTTTTTACAATTTGTACACAGCAATATTTCGTTTGTATTGACAAAATTCTGCCATCCTTTTTCAGATTTACCTTTGATGCCAGAAAAAACCGCGATTATAACCGGTGGTTCTAGAGGCATAGGAGCGCGAATAGTCAAGAAACTACTACAGTGCGATATGAACGTTATACTCGGTGAATTGTTTATTTGATTATTATCGAGTTGTGGTATTACCACATTTTTATATGCTAATATTTGGAAATGTGATTAGCTTGTAGGACAGTTAGCGCGGGTGAACAACTTATCCTTCAAATTAGAAAGTCCGGTGTAATTAGCGGACGGCCAAAGGTCTACAAGCTCGATAATTCTTCTCTTGGCTCAGTAAGAGAATTCGCGGAGCAGATAAAAAAAGATTATAGCAAAATTCATATATTAATCAACAATGGTATGTTAAATCGCCCAATACATGGATGCATGCACGACTGAAAAAAAAAAAACGTAATTTCTTTACACAAATGTAGAAGAGAAATTTGTTAAATATCACTACTTTTAGCTGGTGTTATGCTTGTTCCTACGTATAAAGAAACAGAAGATGGTTTTGAAGAGCAATGGGCAGTAAATTATTTGTCACATTTTTTACTGACGTCTCTTCTTCTGCCATTATTAAAGGCTGGCGGGCGATCTGGCGAGTCCAGTAGGATTATTAATGTCACTTCATGCGTTCAATATATGGGAGTCATAAACTTTGATGATATCAATAGTTGTTACAAGTAATCATACGTAAAAAACATATCTAGTCCCAAATATTGATTTATTCATTATTTGCTGCGGGTGTGATCTTTTTTCGGATATAAATATTTTATATGTTTCACTAGGGGAACATATTTTACTATTACGGCATACACACAAAGTAAATTAGCACAGGTGATATTTACGGTAGCGTTACAACAATTTTTGAAGGACAGAGCATTGAATGTGGAAACATTTTCCGTACATCCTGGTGTGGTAAACACAGAACTATTCAACCATACTTACTTAAGAGGCTCGTGGGTTATGTCGTTGGCGAAGGTAAAAATGCATTATATTAAAATTTCTTTTCATTATTATCAATGATTATTATCGATTAATTTGCATACAACTGTATGTTTTACAGACACCTGACGAAGGAGCTATTCCGATACTATATGCCGCACTGAACAAAGACATTGAAAATAAAGGTGGCATTTATATTAGCAATTGTAAGGAATATCCCAACGCTGCATGGGCACTGCAGAAAAATATACAAAAACAATTGTTTGAATTATCTTTGAAACAAGTAAAGTTACATGATTTTTTCCAATATTTATAATTGTCAAATGAATTATTTACGATTGTTAAATATATCAAATTTATATTTTATTAAATTTATGTACTAAAAAAACTAACTTTTTTTTTTATGTCTAGAAATTATATATCCACTCTATGTATATATCCACTCATCTCATCATGTATCATCTCATGTATATATTCACTCTAATTTAAAATGTTTATTTTACATGATAAAGCGAACATTTGCATTGTATCAAATACAGATATACACAAAACATGCAAATATTTTCGATAATCTGCTATCATATGAGGTAAAAAATAGCATTCAGAATATCGCTGCTATTGTTATTTAAAGAAATGCATTTCGCATGAGATAACTTACATTGAATTTATACAGTTTTTTTCATTGTGTCAAGTTTAACATAATATTGTTTCGTATTTCAATTACAAAGAAAATTGATATGTTTCCATCAATATAAATTTTATTATAAGCTACGATTTATATTATGCACTGTTAGTAACTTATTGCAACAATACATTATGTAATTATAATAAAATGTCATTACATAAAATCTTTGGATTAATTACAAACACAACAGTTTGTGTAGTTTCAACTAAAAATTTAAAAAAATTGTAAACGTTAATAGAAGTAAAATCTATTTAATTTTATGTAAATTGGCATACATATATCTTTATATATTTTTTTTAAATTGCAGAACCCAATAGAAGACAAATTTGAATAAATATTAATAAAATAATAAAAATTAGGAATGTATTGCAATTTTACATTCCTTAATTTAACCTTTGCTGTAAAAAAGATGAAGATTTGTTACTAAAATTGCACAAATTGGTAGTAAAGAAAAAATTTACACAATAATCGAAACTAATAAGCTGCAGAACATTGTAAAAGTTAGGTAAAAAGTTTCTGTGCTACAATTTATAACAATATACATATTGTTTAACAGTTATGTATATTGCTGTATATAAAATATAAAAGTGTGAAGACTAGAGCAATGTGCCAAAATACTAGTACAGTACTAGCAGTACAATAGAAATCTTAATCTATGGAAACGTAAATAAGAAACAATTTTCGCGTTTTAACATATTACACAAGATATAAATATGTAATAATTAATGATCAACCACTGTTTATAATATTATACTTAATATAAAGTAACAAAAATCATATAAATGCTAGTGAATATTGTACAATAATATCATCTATAATTCTGCACTATACTTTTTCTAAATTATTATTGTAACAAATAATCTATTAAAATAAAAAATGCTTCTCGTTGATTATTGTACTTTATAGAGTTACGATGTCATCTATGCTTTAATTTTAACATGCTGTTATGAGCATATAGTGAGCTGCTTTCTTCAAAATAGCATGATAAACACATAAATATTGCACATTAGAAATAACTTTATACATTGTAGGCTTGTAACGTGTTGTAAAAATCTTATTATCAATAAGATTTAGACAAGTTAGCAAATCTATTGTAATAATAACTATTTGTACTTTTAAAGTAACCAAAAAAATACTAGTTATATCAAATGCTGTTGTATGTAGAATTAAGCAATTTAACATTAAGCAGTATTGCTTCAATTAAATAAGATTTGAAAATAATAGGGCACAAAAATTGCGCGCTATAATATTGTATATCTATAAAAAATTTTGTCCTATAAGCTAGTGCTTAATAATATATTTAAATTCTTGTCCCCCTGTGTTTTAAATATTAACTATATCTTACAACATAGCATAAAGCAACGTAGCATATAATATCATAACACTAAACAATAACACTGTATCAAAGATGTACACTGTATTAGATATTTTCCTGAATTATCAAATATTGATACGCTTGATATTCAATCACCATGTTTATAAAAAAAAGGTATAATTTTCGTTTCATATATATATATATATGTGTATATATAAAACTAAAAATACCTTACTAAAATGCTTAATGTTACATGAAAAAATTTCTTAAGAAAGTCTGCTACAACCGCAATTACTACTATCACCGATTGATGTCGTTTTACCATTTATTGAAGTTGTATTCGTTTCATATCGAGGTAATTCCTTACTACGTGCTTGCTAAAATAATATGGAATTACTGAAAAGTCTTCTAAACGATGTAATCTCAAATGAAACATGCTTACTTACCTCCATAAGTTCAGCTGCTATCTCCATAAATAATCTCTCTACATTCTCAGCCTCTTTGGCAGACGTTTCTAAAAAGTACATTCCGTGTCTTTGTGCAAAATCTTCTCCTACATGTGTTGGTATTTCTCTATCTTCACGATCAATTTTATTTCCTAATATTCAACAATATATAATTAGAAAATAGTGCAATTCTTATATACAAAAAGTTTTCTTCTTATCATTTTATGTCTTGTCACTCACCTACTAATATCCTAAGAACTTTATTACTCGCATACTCCTCAATTTCTCTTAACCAATCTGGCAAACAGTCAAATGTTGGTTGACAAGAAATATCATAAACTAATATCAATGCGTGCGCTGATCTATAATAACTCTGAGTAATGGAACGAAATCTTTCCTGACCCGCAGTGTCCCAAATTTGCAACTAGAAAAGAGAACACAACAAATTAGATATAGGTACGTTTATTATAATATGTTGCATAAAATATCACACTTAAACTATATACCTTGACTTTTTCATTTTCTACTTCAACAGTCTTAATCATAAAATCAACTCCAATTGTCGCACCTTGTCCAGGTGGAAATAAACCCTGTAAATTCCAAGAAATTCAATAAAATAAATATATAATTCTGATTATCTCTGTCAAGTATTGTTTTTAATTGTAGTTTGTAAAAATACACGTGTGTAATTTGTAAGCTATTATTGTTTCACATTTTGGTATATAAAAATATCATTCTTTTAGAAAACGCTTTTTATTATAAGAAATGACTCACAGTTAATTATACAAGTTAATTTGAAAAAGTTTTCAAAGAAAAAGAATAATATTAATTATTACTTTAACATGTAAATTTGAAGTAAGTTAAAAAGTCAAAAACTGCAGTATGAGAAGAGCAAATAGAAAGAATACTTCAAAGTGTTATTTGCTTAGCGTATATATGTAGATGACATCATCCTCACAATGCATAAATAATGAACTTTCCGGGAAATGCAGCCGTGCGTGAGCTCGGCGTGCAGGAGCTCGCGAAAGCATCTCGCTCGTCACGATCGAAGAGATAGACGAACGAGCTGTTTTCTTTTTTTCCCCCCTGAATCCTCTTTTAACAACTATAATTGAAGTGTCACCTGAGAGGGAGATATGTCATTTGACGCACCTGAGTGAATCGTCGCACTAGACAGGTCTTGCCCACGCCGGCGTTCCCCACGAGCACGACCTTGAAGAGAAACTTGTAGTCCTCCATCTTCACGGCCCTGTATCCAGCACCAGGAAGCAAGGTCCGCGACAAACGCGCTCGCGTGCCTTCACCTCAACGAGGACGACACATCGGGTGAAAGAAGGAGGCCTCGCCGCGGCACCGCGGACGTTCCGCAGGCGTTCACCTTGACGGCGGGTGACAGACCGCGCGAATATCGAACGCACGCGACGCGTATTGTCGCAACGTGTTCTCCTTTACGGTTTCGCGGCCAAAGGAAGAGGGGAGCCGAGAGAAAACGGCGACGATCAACGGGACTACCTCGGCATCGTCACCGTGTACGATTCTCACTGACACACGATTCTCACTGAGGCTTCCTCGTTTCCCTTGGACGCGACGAGAATACGCGCGCGCGCGCGCGCACGGCGCGAAAGTCCATCTAGTTTCATCATTGTCTGCTTGTTTCATTTCGCTGCCCTTACATTTCTCACATACGAAGCTTGATATTTTTTAAAGTGTTATAGTTTGTAAAAATGTCCAATGTGTGATGTTTTCCGTCATAAAAGATAATAGATTTTTAGAAAAAAAAGATTTAGAAGTGTTTCAAGAGAAATTGTCAAATCAACATATTTCTGATCAACTTTTCGAAATTTATTTTAATCGTTGTACATAATTATTATTGAATTTTCTGCAATTGTCCGTTCAGGACAATTAAATATTTCTGTTAAATATTCTACACACAGTCTACGGTTTAGCAAACTAGAAAAAACTTTTTCTTATCTAAAATCATGTAATGTTTTTGTCGCAACTAGCATATGAAAGAGTCGCCATCTGACCTCGTCTATGCGATTCTCGTGTCAAGTCTGTAATTTTTGTTACTATTGGTAAAACTTTCAATATAATCTGTTCTAAACAGACGTCTGCTCCTCGACACAAGTTATTTTATAACAAGTATCTATTTTTTTCAAATATTTTGTAAGCCAGAACTTTTCTACGGAACTTTGAATTCTTAACATAATCTTGGAGTAACTTTGATATAAGTTTGACATATGTCAGGAGCGCATTTTTAACTGTCAAGCACTGTCAAGGTTAACTGAGCTGTCAAAACTCGAAGAATAACAAAGCTGGTTTGTGCGTCGGAATTGAATTAATGTTGACAGAATCGCGAGAAATTTAATTTAAACTGAACAATCAGCGAACGTTTGAGAAAAATGCGACGAAAGGCCGGAGTGGGTGCAATACACAAGCAGAAATTGGAGCAGGAGAAGTACCGGGACAAGGGCACAGAGATCCAGGAGAACCAATTTGAGCAGATGACGAAACACATGGAGACGTTTCGCGTAAATTTGGAGGAATTCGCATCCAAGCACAAGAACGAAATTAAGAAGAACGCGCGTTTCCGTCGTCAGTTTACAGAGATGTGCGCCTCAATAGGCGTGGATCCACTGGCGTCTGGCAAAGGATTCTGGTCGGTACTGGGTATCGGTGACTTTTATTACGAGCTCGCCGTTCAGATCGTGGAGGTCTGTATGGCAACCAATTACAAGAATGGTGGCCTGATATCGCTGGACGAACTGAGAACACGCTTGATCCAAGCCAGAGGACGCAGAAAGGAGCATCAAGAGATCACCAACGAAGATCTATTAGCTGCTGCGAAGAAGCTGAAAATATTTGGAAATGGCTTCTCTGTGGTTCCCATCGGCAGAGGAAGACACTTGGTGCAGTCGATACCTGGTGAACTCAGCATGGATCATACCGCTGTACTACGTCAGGCTAGTTTGTCCGCAAATGCTTACGTCTCCAAATCCATTTTGTGCAAAGAATTAAGATGGGAGGAGGATAGAGCGCAGAAGGCTCTGGATCACATGATGAAGGAAGGTCTGGCTTGGTTGGACGGGCAGGGAGAAGACGAGACGTTATATTGGTTTCCCAGTTTATTCACAGCTTGCATCGTTTCCAAAGAATAAGCTCTGTATCGATATTGTTGTCACATATGTAGAAAATATTTTAAACAAAGAATCGTTGCTTCTTAAGATTTGTATCTCTTTGGTAAATAAAATCAAATATTCTGTAATATTTACAGCATCTGAGTTGCGAATGTTTCATGGCTAATATAAGACGTTGTCACCTGGTCTCAGATCCTTGTACATAACTAAAATGACAAAGAAGAGCTATAAGTATGCCGTCTTTATAACTCAATTTTTAAGATTTTATAGTACAAACCTATGAATAGCATCTGTTTTACACTGAGTAAATGGCTGCCTATAAATTAGAAGTGTTTTGTGCAATTCAGCATTTTCCTTTTGTAGTAAAGTTATTTTTCCACGTAATTCTTTAGATTTGATTTGGAATCGTGCTGTTAAAGATTTTGCTTCGTCTCTCCATCTGAAAACAGAATTAATCAAAATCAGCCAAATTTTAATATTAGCAAAATTATAGAGAACATAAAATTTAATTACTTTCTACTTAATTTTTGATGAACTGTTACATGTTGTGTCATTTCTTTCAATTTCTTGTCAAAATGTTCTTGCTGCTTATTCAATTGTTCGGCTAACAAAGACTGCCAATTGTGGTCCATATTTTCAATCCTAAAAAATATATTTTTAAGCACATCCAAAGCGAGTTATTTATTTTATGTATAGATATAAACGCTATATACATTAAAATGTTGAATAATAAATTATTTACCGTATATCCAAAGTATGTTTGTTTATTTTGTCCAAGTAATGTTGAGAAGAAGCATGTACTGGCGATACATTAATTCCTGAAATATTCTCCGTTTCATAAGTAGTCTTTTGATGACTTGCTTCTAATTTGTGGATCTTGTTTTCCAATGAGTGCCGTTCGTAATCTCTCTTATTTATCTGACGATCGAAAGCCAACTGCAATGACTTTAATTCTGTCACCAAAGTTTCCTTATCATTTGTAGCTTTGATCAATTGACTCTCTAAATTAACGTAGCGCTCAATCGCATCCTTCGTCCTTTCGTCGGCTAATTTTATGCGATCTCGTATATCCGTGGAATTTTGCTGTTGAATTTGTTTCATCCTTTCATTCGAAACTGCTAATTTTTCTTCAAGATTATTAATTTTTTCTTGCAATTGTTGCATCTCCAAATTATATTGCTTCTTGTACATTTCGTCAGAAATTTCAGATTTAGAATCCGCTTGTTTTAACGTTTGTTCGAAGTTTAGCATTTTGACAGCTGATTTTTCCAATAAATCTTCAGAATCTCGACGTAATTTCTCCAGTTCTACCTCGGCTAATCTGTTCTCTCTTTGTGATTGATCCAATTGGACAATCTTCTCTCGCAATTCTGACTTTAACTCTTTGATCTCGGATAAATATTTCCTTACATTGTGCTCGTGAGCGTCTTTTAATTTTACAATCTCCTCTTGCTTTTTAACAACATGTTCTTCAGCAATGAAAGCTAATCGAGTTTCTAGTCTAGCATTTTGTTCCGCAACGTGTGCTTCTCTCTGAAGCACGAAATCTTTCTCCTTCACTGCAGTTTCTACTAGATCAAGAGCTTCGGTCATCTTACATTTCATTTCTCCGTTCTTCGCCATAAGATTGTTGACAATTCTTCTGTTCTCATTCAGTCTCTTTTCCAAGTCTGACTTTAAGTAATTTATCCGCTGTATCTCTGCCTTTGCAGTAGATAACTCCTCCGTCAAGGATTGTATCATCTGCTGACTATTCCTGTCTTTTAAATAAAATTACTGTCACATTACTCTTCACATTTTAAATTAAATATTAAATAAATAACTGACCTTTTTGTTGAATATTTTCTTGAAATTCCTGAAGTCTTTTCATCATTTCTTGTTTCTCTCGTCTTAAAGATTCTATTGTCTCCTTACTTGTCATCCATAAAGATTGTTGTTTTGTAAAATTTTCTTTAGTCTGAAGTAACTTGTCCTCTAAGGCCCTTATAGCTTCTGAATATGATTGTCTAACATCTTTCAATTGCTCTTCGTAAAATTTTACATCTCTATTATCTGTCGGACGAGTTCTTAATTCCTGTTCCAAGGCATCTACAGCTTTCATTGACACCTGCCACAGTTGAACTGCTGAATCCTTTTCTATTTGCAAAACTGCAATTTGCTCTTTCAAATTTGTAACTATTTTATCGTGCACATCTTCATTGCCACATTCTTCCAAGTGGATGCGTGAGATGTAATCACGCACGGCATCACCGCTGTTTTTATTTTCAATATGCAGAGCTTGGAGTTCTGAACGAATGCCACTTTGTTCCGTCTGTAAAAAGTATTCATGCTACTATAATGATTTATTACATAAAAGTATTTCAAAACAACATACAATTAAAAAAAGAAAATATTACATTAATATTAAATAAAGTGTCATAAAAAAGAAACTTACTTTGCAAATTTCCAACTCTCGTTTAAGTTCTTCGACAGTATCATTATATTCTTGAAGAATAGTATAATGGTCTCTGATAAAAGGAAGAGGTAATTATTTTTTATCTAATAATAACAATATAATACATGTACCTAAGACTTTCTAACCTTTACTTACCCGTGTTTTAATGCGTCGTATTCTGAATCAAACATTTTATTACACACGATAATTTCTAAAAGACAATTAAATTATATTTTAATATAAATTATTTTCAGTCAATTTGTTCAATATTAGACAGACACGACGCTATTCGCATTAGCGTCGTTTCTATTGATCCATAACCTCCATAACATAAACACACAATTGACATAACAGTTTATCATTATGCCAGTTTTTCATAATGTGTTGTAAATATTTAGACATTTAACTATATTGTAGCATTAATTTTATATTTTATTGTTATTCTGATGTCTCATAGGAATAATATGCATGTACAATATATAATATTTATAAACAATTTGAGATTCTTTGACAGAAAGCAAACAAATTCTGTTCAGTACTGCTATCTGTGTTCCATAGCTAAAATTACATAGTCATATTCGTTTCTCTACATTGCCGGTAAACAGATGGCGCGCGTAGTGTAGAAGATATCGATATATCGAAATCAAGTCGAAGTAACAACTATACGCGCCGTATTCCGACCGCTCTTTCTTCACGCCATGACGGTTCGCGCGAAAAGTAAGGTAAAAATGTTTTGTGAAAATTATTCGTGTATTTCGCTGGTATTGAAATGCTTAAAAAGTATACATTTTTGTCAGGAGTGCCGATTAAAATCACAAGCGATTACAGGAATGTATTATTTAACGCGAGTATATGCGATTAATAATGTCTTGTCGATTGCTACATTTCACGAATAAAAATAGGTTACAATTCCAGTGAGTACAGATTTTAATATCATAAATATGCAAAAATAATGCTTACGTTTGCGTAAAAAAATTAATGCGCAATGTATTTTCTATTAAATATAGCATGCTGAAAATTTAATTCGTTGAAATCAAATGGGGTAAAATATAATTGTCGTTTCATGCGTACTTAACCCGAGTCCACTCGGTCGTTCAAACAATCGACAAGATGTCGTTTCGTATATCATGACATGACAAGTGCGCGATTGTGATTTTCATAAAAGTAAAACATGCGAATTGATTTTTGTTTGGTGGTGCGCGTAATCAAGTGAGTGTTTCCGGTATTTATTAGTTCTATAATAAAGCAATCAAAAGCGCAATCTGGAACGGATGGAGTAAAATCCAACACTCTAATTAGTGAGTGCAATTATTTATTTATTTTTTAAACACGTATATCGATCTGTAACGTATATATATATAATTCCAATTTATACTTATAAAATATATGATACTTACACGGAGAAAATTTTATATCAAAAATTACTATATACGGCAGTAGCTGCGGACCGAAAATTTTTACTATGTTTTATATGTGAAAAATATAATAAAAATTTTTACAATTCCTTCATGATCTGCAGTTACTGCGGATTACTTTAGTAATTTTTGATATAAATTTTTCTCCGTGGATTATTAAGATTTTTAAAGATATTTATTAAAATAATGATTGAAATGTTTAAATATTCAGTAATATTTGGAGATAATTATTTATGCAATTTATTGAATATTTTTAAATTTAAAGTAAATTAATACGTAATAATTAATTTAAGTAAAAAAATATATTTATATTAACTAAAATATGTATTTTTTTTTAGGTATAGTTGAAGACGTATTTATATAAAGGACACAACAATCGGTGAGTGAATTCATTTATTATACTTACAAAACACTAATGTCATCAGTTGTCTTTTGATTCTTCAATATTCCATTGTTTAATTATTTATCTACAATTAACGAGAATTAAATATGATTGGCAGGGTGTAAAATATATATATATTTACATACAAATATATATACATTTACATACAAATTACAAATACATATTACATAAAAATATATATTTACATACATTTTACAAGCTGATTCTTGTAATTTAAATAATTTTTCGTTAAAAAAATACTTCAAAAAACATACGATGTGTTTAGAAAGAATGTTATGTTAGAAATGTTGAAAACGTTAGAAAATATTAAATATAACAAAATTTTGCCGGAATTGATAAATTGCAATGCAATTTAACTCCGCGTTATCCGCATTATCTCTCACGTGAGAAAAATTCGAAAGATTTATATTAGTTTTTTTAGCTTAGCCATCTATATTTATTAGTGATTTAATTTAAAATTAAAAAAATTTCATTTTTTTACTTTGGTACTACATTATGTTCTTTTCTATATTTAATTAAATTTGCATATGTATCACATATGTATCACGGTTATACACTAAACCACAGCGTTGTTTGCCGTTTGTAGAGAATTAGATGTGGCTGTGTAGTTTTAACTATAAAATAGATGTAGGTAGCAGTACAGAACAGAGATTAATAAGCGTCCCATGTGAAACGCTGGTATATAGCTGCTCTCAAGCTCAGATATAGATGGTCAGCATATGCATAAAAACCAATGGTTTTATTTAATAACTGATCATCTCTTGTCGATATGCAGTTTAGAAATGCAGATAGCAGAAATGCTATCAAATATAAAGGAAAATCAGATACATATACATTATCAGAAAATTTATAGTCAAAGCATAAAACAAATAAGAAAATAGCGTTTTTTTTAATTTAGAAATTTTATTCTGGTTATTTTACTGAGAGCTTAAGCTATCTACTTTCACATAAATGGTTGAAAATCAAATTTATTTTTCAAAAATATTTTATATTGATATTAATGTGATTATCAATAATTAATATTATTATTCAGCAAAAAGCTGGAAATGTGTGTGTGTAAAAAATGTTTGACTATGTTAATGAAAAAAGGTGGCACTCTAGTTACTTTATTGATGATATATTAATGATATAATATAAATTTATATTATGCATAATTATGTGCTTTTATCGATATATGCAAATGTGCGCATCGTGACAGTAAAATGAATAATTTAGTATAAGTTCAATAACAAATTATGTTAATGTTTCTAGTTTATATAATTATTATATTAATTCTTCTGCTGGATTATTATCAATACATATTTATATGATTTTTGATATTACATGGATGTTTATCGAATTAATTTATATATTACTTCGATACTCGCAATTTTGATAATATTAATATTATATCAGGTATATAGTAAAGTTAATAATTAACTTATAATTAATAATTAATTTATATTTTCATCCAGGAAATAACGCTATTTATGCAATTCAATATTAAACATCTTAGTTATATTTAAAAGCATATTTGGAAAAATTTAATTATTAATGCTATGACAAGAAACTTTGAAACGTAGCTCTTTTTTTAAATTCCCAGAATAATTTAATTTGTTAAATATTTATAAAATGTAACTCCACAAGTTATATAAAAAATTATTTTATATTTTTTTTACATTTCTTATATAATTTTTATTACAAGGATTTAAATAAATAATTATTTTATAAATTTATAAAGAGTATATAGGACAAAAACACATTGTATTTTATAGAAAAATATTTTTTTTATGGTTTAGCCGTTGAAACATTTTCTTTTGATGAATTTTCGGAATAAGCCAAGACCGCGAAATTGCCGAAAACCAAAAAGTCCGCACTGTTTTGTTTACGAGTGTGCAAACTTCCGCTGGCATGTGCCGACTTACTTTGGTCCCGTTAGGGCTAAACACTCAAGTTGTGATATCAAACGGCGCAGTACTGGTCCAGTTAAGAGCGGTCTCGGAAGAGAATAGCGAAAGGGAAACTTTCCGATCTCGTCGATCGGAATGTGTCGACCGGCGATGAGGCGCGGGAGGGGGATGAGAGAAATTCTGGAAGGCGTTATCTATCCACTCGTGTGATATCGGGGGGGAAAGCGGGAGGGTGGGAGCGACGCCGAGAGAGCGCCGAGACGCCTCGATCCTCGCGCTCAGTCACCGCCCAAGCCGCGCCACGAGTGATTCGTCGCGTTACGCGAAAAAGCAAGAGTTTATACGCGTGTAAACCCTCGCGTCGCGAATGTACCGCAATCTCTGTCAGTCGCGATCCCCCTCGTGTCCCACCATTATCCGTGATTTCAGTGATCGTTTTCTCTTCTCATGAGATCGCGATCACGCACGTGAACGCGAGTGAAAATCTGATTACTATCCTGTCGGATTTTTGAATCTAACGCGAGCAGGAAGTAGTGGTGGTGCCGCCGTGCTGTGGACGTGCATTCGCCGGCGCGAATTCTAAAGGCAACGCGTTCCTCTGGAGGCGCTCAGGAAACAGTCAAGATCCATCGCCGCCCGGAGATGTCGGAAAGTCAAGGTCAGTGCTGTTATTTTGCGGTCGCGCAACGCGCGCGCTTACTGCGCTCTCACCATCGGCGAGCGCGCGTGCAGAATCGCATAAGGGATGAAGTGTCGATGATAAACTTAGACGAAAAAAAAAAAAACTCCTTGTTTCCATTTAATTAATGATCGCTATCTAAAGTTACGGGGGTTAATAACTACTTTGTGCAATAATTTTATATTCTCGAAGCACGAGAACAAGAAAGCAAGAAATAGACGATAGAATGAAAATTTAAGGCATTTTGTTGTTTTGATGTTTATGGAATGGGGTTGAAAGAGAATGAACAACTTTATAGAGTTTTCTCTCTTTTGTAAAGCTCTTGCTTCTCAGAGAAAATATAGTATGATGTCAGATAAGAGATACTTCTATCTCCGAGAGTTAGTGGAGTAAGTTCAAACGAATGGAAGTGGGTCACTGAAAGAGTTTTTAATTTAATATCTCAGTTTATCCTCCAATTATATTTACTCTCTATTGCAATGTCCATAGTAATAAATGTAGCACACAAACATACGTTTAAAAATACTAATTTTCGAGCTCGTATTTTAATGAATGCACGGCGACTCGTTTGTCAAAAGTAACGATGGATAAACTTTACGACGCTGGGGTTGTCGTTAACAAATGATATTGCGGAAACAGTAATCAATACATTACGCCACGTTTTATTAGCCCCTATGGATTCATCATGTAATCTCCCGGTATTATGTCTCGCGAAATCACGTTAACTCATTTGCATCCATAACTGCAGCAGTCTGTTTGAATCCGAAAGCCGCTAGTTTTCGCGGAATTTGTCCAGTTGGCGTAATATTATTCAGATTAATCCGCTTATCTTCTTACAAATAGATTACATTACAATTTAATTATACAAAATGACAAAATATCATGCAGCCAAATTGCAAGAGTATATTTATACATATTATTCCAAATAAATAAATACATAGAATAAATGATACACTATATGATACATAATAAACTTATATGTCGAACTAAATAATAAGCTGTCAGTGGTGCATTCTGCGGTAATATCAGCCATGTGCGGCCGTGTATCAGTGCGCTTGTATGAATGCAAATGACATAATCTCAATCGCTAATCATTCCGCGTTAGCGGATCGAAATAGCGTTACAGCTTGAT